ATAAGGCTAGGGTGCCCCGAAACACCCATTGTAGAACGGGACCCACAAGGGGTCCAGGAGCCCACAGGATCAGAGTACAGCAAACCGTGTCCAAGATGACATAAAGGCAGCCTCCCTAATATATATTTACCAACAAAGACGTGGTGGGTGAGAATCAAGGGTAACCATTGGGCCAACTTGGCACGGTAACGGGACCTTGGAGAGATCACAGCCATCCTTCATGACATATAGGAAATCCCCAAACCTGAAATAGTTATGTGTGAAGACAAAGAAGGAGATTGTAATGGAAACAGAAGCAATTTTCTTGTTGGAGATAATGTTTTTTACACCTGGTAATCCGTCTTCATGGGGAGTACAAGTTGGTGTACAGAGATATGACATCCATCGTGTTAGCTGGAAATTTGTCAATGGGGGCCAGTTTCTTTAAGAAATCTATGGTGTCTTTCAAATAGCTGGCAGCTCCAGTTGCATATGGGAACAGGATAAAGTCCATTTATCTGATTTCCAGTTTAGGTTCTCAGAGGGACTTTATCTCTTGTTGAGGAAAATAAATTCAACCCGAAGTTCCAAACAACAAAGCAGACAGCTCCTCAAAGTATTATTGGGTAAAGGCCACCGAGTCAGAGGATCTTTGCCCCCTCAAAGGAGTCCCTAATACAGCTGCAAAGCCCTGAGTTCTTCAATGTTGTTCCTTTTACAATCTGTCCAACTACAGAAACCTACAACTCCTCTTTTGGTCCTCGTCTTCAGACTCTGCCCTTCAGACAACATCCTCCTTGTCCATCCTTGCATATACATCCTGGCTGCACAGTTTATTTTGTGTCATGTTTATTTCTTTCTCTTTCCTGGAGGTGTTACCTGCAACCTCCATGTTTGCTGAAGTGTCAAAGCTGTTCAGATCTCAGTAGATGGGTGTGTCTTCTGTCATGTAGGCCAGCAATTTATAACAATATGAACACATTTAAAATGGAAGTATTACAGTAAACCTCATAGTCCATCGTCTTCTGACCCCATAAATTTTGCACTCTTGCTTATCCCAAATTTATCAGAAGAGGTAAAGGCTACCACCCTGTTTATTTTATTGTCAGGTGATTAGGGCACACTCCTGGAAAGTGGGAAAAGTCATTTTGACCACTGTCAGGCTGAGAAAGGACTTTAAAAAAAAGCTCTCCCACTTTGAAGAACATTGTTCTAACCACAAGGGCCATTGGGCAAAAGATCAGGACTGCCTCCACCAGCAGCTATGTTTGAGAGTGACTGTGGCATACTGGGCTTATGCCATTATGTCAATCAGGCACTAGGTATTCTCAGTGAACACTTATCAGATCATGGACTTCAGTGTAGTTTAGGCATCTGCCAGCTCTAGTGTGAATCACAACAGAGCTTAGGAAGGACGTGCCTATGTGCTTCTGAACATGTATACCAACTTAATCTGAGATGCCTAGAGAATTTTTCAAGCCAGAATGGAAGCACTGAATATGCACATAGGTGATTGTGTAGCTGTTGGAGTGGGGTCAATCTAGATCACACTTTGTGACTTAGATGCCTAGAATTCTGGCTAGGTCCCACTTCAGCACCTATAAGAATGATTTGAACTGGGCCCCAGAGAGGCAGTTATGACCTAATGGGTCAGCGGCACTGAAAAAGATTAGCAGCAGCTCTATCAACACATATATACATTCAGACAACAGCCTGCCACGCTTTGCATGACTAGGTTTGAAAAACAGCTCATCTCCCAGAACATCTTGGACCAAAAGTATACTGATATGGAGGAGTGGACAGAGTCCCTGGAGCTCTCTGCTGGGTTTTTGGAAATGTACAATAGAGTATACATCACAAAGTCAGTGCACAGTGGTGGCTGCATGCCTGTCTCTGGCACCAGTTACTGCCTCAGTCAGTTGTGAGCAAATTTTTACACAGATGCAGGCTCTCCTGATGAAGGCCACATGGTCTGGGCCTGTACAAATTTAGAGAGTGGAAGGATTTAAACTGCTGTAACACCATGTGAAGCAAGAGATGGTGACCACGTAGATATCCACTTCCAACTGTCAGGAACAGAGAGAGAGAATTACCTGTTTGACCCAACAATAGCTGCCAATGAATAACTGAAACTTAAACAACTGAAGATGAATGAGAACCAACCCCATTTGATACCTTCTTCTCCACAGTATGTAAGATGGGGAAGATTGGTCCTATACCTTGAGTCCGTAGCCTTGCCTAGAATCAGAGCTATGGCTCATTCATTCCTCAGCTGGAGGAACTCTACCCTCCATCCTTTCATGGGGGTGCTCTGGAGACTCTCCTACCAGCTTCTGTGCCACAGTACACTGGACTGAGACTGCATCTATCTCCTCGTACAAGCTGCTGCAAAAAGTAGCTCAATTACCTGCTCCCTTGCTGTTCCCAGGCATAGCCAACTTTTCCAGAAAAGAAGCCAGATGATGCAAAGTGGGCAGTAATGGTGCACTTAAAAGGTCAAGAGCTGGGGAGCTGGCCCAGTGTTGTGTGGTGATTAGCAGCCACATAGCTTGCAGGGTCCATGAGAACTACTAAGTCAGCAAGGACCAGAGGATAGTGGTCCCTGGCTCCCTTCATTGTTCAGTGAGAATAAAAAATGGCCCATCTTTCATCCAGCAGTCTCAGGGACATGTGGGGAGTGAAAGGCAGCCCTGCACTATCACTGCCCCGGGATCCCAGCCCCAGTCCTGGCCTTGACCCTGGCCCTTCCTGCTCCTGGGTGCCACTCCCTACCTGCCTGCTCTGTCCAGCACCCCCAGATGGGCCCAGGGCCAGAGAGGATCAATTGGCACCTCCCTGGCCCCCTCCGAGCAGTGTAAAGTGCCATGATGGGGGGCCAAAGCTGGGTCAGCAATCCCCTAGTACTGGCCTTCAACAGCTCACCAGAACTCCAAGTCAGCACCCCGACCCCACCACCCTTCAACAGCTTACCAAAACTCCTTAAGTGGCCCTCCAGCCCAAATAATTGCCCACTCCTCTTGCAGCCAATGGATTAAAGTTGTAACATTTTGAATTTCCCAGCTGTTGGTCTGTTTTTTGAAAACAGATGATCAAATACTCATGTTAATTTTTTTCATTGGCTACATTCTAAGATTTTTTAAAATCAAGCTGGAGCAAGTCTTATGAAAAACAAGCTAAGATGAAAGTTTTTGAAATATGTTAGGAAAATTATTCCTCCCCAACAGTGTGCATCATTCTGTGAAACATTCTAGAGCACTGATACTTTTACTACTATTACTAAGTCTTTTGCATTATTAGAATAATTAAAAACATAAGCACACTGCTTTGCAGATTTCAGAAGGTTAGAAACCCAAAAAGCATCTTTTGTACAGTGCCTGGTTATATTCATTCCTCCCAGCAAAATGGGTTTGATTCAGTGTCTGCAAATATAATTCCACTTATATTTCTTCTCTTAAGAATAGAACAATAATACTTATCCTGCAGGTCCAATTTCTGTAGTGTGGTTAATACTGGAAAATATTATTTTCCAATTAAGAGCCAGGTTCCTTGTAGTTATAGAAGAAATATATTTTATTTTCCATTCAGTTATAACAATCATGTGAGAAGTGACAAGGAAACAGGAGCACAAGAGCAAACGCCATCTGTTTCTTTTCAAGTATTTTGAATCATGTGAAGCACAAGGGTGGCAAAGCTTGTACTTTTAAACTTACAAAAGTAGAAAATAAAAAATAAATGTTTTGCATATGTTAAGCAACAATTTTTAACTAAAAATTGAATAGTTTACAAGAGCTTTTCATTTTCACTGGTACCTACCAGCACTGCTATAATAAAATCACTTGCTATTTGGCATAATGGAAATCCTGTGTTCAGTCTTTCTTGGTTGAATGCTGGCATATGACCCTGAAGAAAAAGTAGTTTCTTTTTAAAATGCTTACATTATTTTATTTCTTAATGTCATTTCATACTATACAGTTCCTAGGACTTACTTTTATACATAAAACTTGCCTTCATTTTAAAAACTCTAAATGTTGCTGCTGCTTTGTTCAGAACTAATAGCTGAGGTTGAATATAGCTTTAGTGACAAAGTTTACACTAATGCTACCTTTTTGGAATCCTAGACTTTGGGCAGCACAATGGACTTCTGTGTTTTGCTGTTCTTGAATAAATAAGCAGAAAAACCTAGCTGTTATTTACATTAAAAACAGGTTACTCCAAATACACAATGTTTTAATGGGTTGATTATTTCTTATTACTCTTCCATCTTACCTTCCATACAAAGCAGATTTTAAACATGCAGAATTCCACTGATTTGAATGGGATTTGTAATAGTATTTATGCACCAAGGGCTGACAGTGTGTCAGCTTTGAAATGACGTGCTGAAAATGGAAATATTATATCTCATGCACTTTTACTGAATACACTTGTTTTCCCCCACACACACACTCACATTTCACCTCACCAGTATTTAGCTGATGCATCCCTACAATGGGCGATTCAGTTAAAAAAAACTACAGCAGTTATCTTAGAGATTGAAATCAGGAGAATAATGTATTGTAGGCCCAATTCTGTGTTCCATTATAGTTCATGGTTATATCCCCTTTTTAGTCAATGAGATTTCACTAACTCTGTATCTAAGAACCCTAAAGAATATCATATATTGAGACATTTCACCTAATCAATCCTTACTTCATCCCTTCATGGTTAGTATTATAGCCCACATTTAATATCATCCACTTCTTTACACCTCTGTTAAACCACAGATGAGCTTTAAACTTCTTTGCTTATGTTGGCTTAAGTTTCACCATTTACATTGTTAATGATGGTTGTTGCCTTTTTTCTTCGTGCTACTTACATGGCTCTCTTTCCTTTGTGACATTCCTTGAAATAGATTCCACTGCTGCAGGAATTGTGAGGCTGCCTTCTCCATGAACTTCCCCTCTGTGGCTGGCTGAATGCTACATCATGATTTATAAATGTATTCAATGGATCCACCACTGATTCTATGTGTATGTTTTGTCTAGAGTGAGGAATGGCAGAAAATCATTCAGTCTAAATCTTCTCAGGAGGTGTCGAAGAAAGATATCCTTATCCGGGTCCATGAAGTAGTGACTGCTTGCTTTAACACCATTTCACAAGAGTTTAAAGATATTGATTGTACAAAAGAAAATACAATATCAAAGGAGGACTTCAGGGGGGTTTGTAACCAGCATTTTCTGCTTCTAACTGACAAACAAGTAAGAAATGCATATTTTTTAAAGTACATAACTCACTGAAAAGGACGTAGGAATGTGTTTGCATATTATTGTGTATAGACAAATAATTTACAAAACAAGAATTATTGGAGACCATTATTCCATAAATATTTATTACCACATTAGTGAGGAATTATTTTTTTAAGCTACATGACTTTGTTTGGGAACTCAGCAAGCTCCCCCAAAGCTTTTCTGCTTAGCAAATCACAGGCAGGCATTGCGAAATAATGAGGGTATGAATTTAGAGTGCAGTAGTTATTCTGCACTAAGCCCCTTGTATGGAGTGAACTAGTAGTTTAGTGAAAAGAGGACTTCTAAAAGATCCCTAAAAATGGGAGTCTTAGTGTGGATTAAAAGTATCCACATTGGGAACCAGTGCAGAAGAGCCTGGACCATGAACTCTAGATGGTATGGAAGAAGTCTTCTATAGGCAGAATCTGGGTACATCTTTTTGAGCACAAGGGCTTCTCAAATCTAGTTCTCTTGCTTTGCTTCAGCCTGATCAGCTAATTTGCTTTCGCCCCTATGGAGGAGACAACACAGCAGCTCTGCTTTTCAAGGGACAGGAATGACATTGAGTCTTCAGAGCAACAATGACTCCAGAATTCTTGCTTGTCAGGACAGCAGACAAGCCAAATTGCCCCTAGCTGGCCCTGCTTACTTGAGTGAGCCTGGCTGCCAATGGCCTAACTACCTACCTGGTCCCAGTTGCCTGAATGTGTGTGACTTCAGCCTCTGATTCCATGTTCCTATTTTCCCATTCCCTGGATCCTACCTGTTTTTTCCTAGTGTCCTTAGGTCCTTCTTGTCTGTTCCTGGTTTCCTGTTTCCTGGGTCCTGCTTGTTGGTTTTCTGGCTTTGTCCTTGTTCTTGGTTCTTGTTTTAGGTTCCTGTTTCCAGACTCAAGCCCACACCCTTGTCCTCTGACAGCCAAGTTCTGGCGTAGCTTGGTGTATTTGCTCACATCCCAGTCCCACACAGCTATAACCAGGGGGTCGAGAGCAAGCAGCTAGTGACTCTGAACTGGATTCCTGCCTCCTGTTCCATTATACTGTCATAGAGACGCAACACCCCCCTTCCCTCTCTTCTTCCCTTCCCTCCCCTCCCCTCCCCACTCATTCCCTTAGGCTCATGGTTCTACTACCCAGGGTGACTGTCTATATCCCAGTCCCTTTTATAGATCTTAGCCTCCTGACCTTCCTGCTTTTGATTCCCTGATGACAAAATCATCACATTATCCAGCTGAGGGTTTGCCTCCTGTTTAGTCCATTTAGTTCCTGTGCATACAAATCAAAAGAACAGTTAGTAAAGTCCTTTGAGCATTTGTGATTTTGTACATTTTGCCATTCAGCAAACACATTCTTGGCTTTGTTTTCCAAGACTTCTTTAACTGCTTCCATGAATACTGTTTCAGGTGCAAGATGCATTTTTATAGTCTTCAAGTCTGACTGTTATTCTATATATGTGCTTCCTACAATGATTTACTTTTGCTAAACAAAATATCTCTACAGTTTACTTAGTGTAACCGAAGCTGCAGACCTAAGTTCTTTGCAATTTTTTGGTTCCCAATTTGTAACAGTCTGGACCAGGGGTTCTCAATCAGGGGTACACATATCCCTGGGGATACTTGGACCGGTCCTAGGAGGTACAGGTGGGTGGGCGGGGACAGAGTGCTGCCACCTCCCAAGAGCAGGGCTGGGGTGGGGCGAGGGTAGAAAAGCCATTCTGTGGGGCAGGGAAGGTCACATGTAGGCCACTGACATCACACACCAGCCCTGTGAGCTTCCTCACCCCACAGAGGGACACCACATTCGCCCACACACTAACTGCCCCCACCCCAGTTGGCATCTGGCTGCTTGCTAACCGCCAACACCCCACCCACCCCCAGTCAGCATCTGGCCACCGGGGGTACTTAGACTAAAAAAGGCTGAAAACTCCTGGTCTGGACAGCCCAGTTTGTTTTTGCAAATGAGTCAAAGGCACTTAGTAGTCACAAATCTTTAAGCATTCGCTAAGAAATAAGCAGTCTGTCATACAAATGCATACTGTTGTCTGGCAGTATTACATAAGGACTCTTATTTTCTTTGTTGGAATCTTCCTGTCTGACTGAGCTTCTATGGAAAGGTCCACCAACTTCAGCAAGCTGATGGTTTTGTCTTCTGTGATCCCCTTGGCTTCCTGAAAAGATCAAAGATGTGGAAACTAACAAACCAGAGTAAAATGAAGCCATCAAAAAGGCAAACAAAATGTTAGGGATTATTAAGAAGGGAATTGTAAACAAAACTGAAAGTATCATCATACTCCTTTTAAAATCCACAGTGCACCCATACCTTGAATAGTGTGCCCAGTTCTGATCTCCACACCTCAAAAAGGATATAGAAGAACTAGAGAAGGTACAGGGAAGGGCAGCAAAGATTATTAGTGGTATGGAGGGGCTACCATATGAAGAGAGACCGAAGAGGCTAAGCCTATTCAGTTCAGAAAGAGACACTTGAGAGGGTACATGATAAGGGTTTACAAAATACTAAGTGCAGAAGGGAAAGTAAATAAGGATTTATTATTTACCATCTTGCACAATACAAGAACTAATGATCACAACATGAAACTAGTAGATAGTAAGCTTAAAACTAACAAAGGTAAGTTCTTCTGCACACAGTGTGTACTTCAAGTGTGGAATTCATTGCCACAAGATGTTGTGGAAGCTGACAGGTTAGCCAGATTCAAAAAAGGATTGGACAAATTCTTGGAAGAAAGGGGCATCAGTAGCTATTGAGCATGGGAGTTAGGGGTAAAGCCTCTGAATCAGAACTTCGTAGACCTTAAGACTACTTACAACCATGGGGGGAAAAAACGGTGCTTTACTTTAAGCTCAGCGTGCCCCTGCGCCAAGCGCAGCACATGCCCATCACATTAGTTGTACCCAGCTTGCCCAACACCTATATAGATTGGGTGCTTCAGCAGGGCTTTTTGGCACTTTTATCTAATAGCTGATTCAATCAGCTATTAGATAAAAGTGCCAAAAAAGCCCTACTGAAGTGCCTGATCTTTACAGATGCTGTGGAGCTGTGTCTAACTAATGTGCTGCCTGTTCCGGTAAAATGCTGGTTGTTGTTTTTTTCTTCACATCTGTCAGTGCCCTAAATGCTGGAGGCTGCAAGTGAGAGAGGAACAGTGGAAAAAAAACCCTGGTCATATCCAGTCCATGCTCCGCCACTGTGGCCACATCAACACGAGACGCTGACCGCGCAGTCATTACTTGTATAAACAAGTGCTAAATGACTGTACAGTAACCAGAGTTACTGCATTTTTGTGTCACTGATTACACAGTAGCTTGTGACTATTGTGCAATAGCGTTGCATCACGCTCCCTGCCATGCAATGCTACTGTGCAATAGTCATGGATTACTGCACAATCAGCATCTCATGTAAATGCGACCTGTATGACACAGAATACTGGAAAAGATCTGACCCAGTGAATGGCAATTCTTATAGTCTTAACACTCCCCCCCCCACACACACACAAAGGCTTATGGATTCAGTCCATTATCTCTGTAAGTGACTCTTTTGGATGGATAGTTTTGTAGATTATTCTTCAGCTAATAATAATGCTCCACATGAAAACAGAAGACTTGTCCACGGCCCATGGTCCTGATCACTCACATTCTTGTGCTGGGATGATTGCTTGAGATATAATCAAGGGATGGCGTGGAACTCCTGTAGCAGTGGTTCATAGGCTGCTCAGCTATGGTGCACTGGCTACACAAGAGAGTTGTTGCTGGTGAGCTATAAGCAGCAAATCTTTTTTCTTTGGAGTTGTATGTCCTCCTCCTCCTGGGGCAGAAGACAGGATTGTGGTTTCGGACTTTATTCCATGAGGTCTTTCACATCCTGGCTACATTTCTGCCATAAAGCTCCCACTAGATCAGCTGCTGTCTCAGCATAGGTTTTTGTACCTGGAATGCAGCTGGGATTTGTCAGTATCCCAGCCAGCAGTGCTGACATGACAGGGGAACAAATGAGTCCAGCTTTCCCCAGATTTCTATATGTGCTAGACCAAAAATGAATGGTGCAGTGGCTTCTATCAGTATACTTAATTTAATTCCATCAATGGGATTTTCATCCCAGAGATGACATGGTTAGTAAAATAGAAGGCAGCCTGAGCATACACTTGATATTTTACTTAGTTGTGTTCCACCTTTCCTCACTTCCTAAAAGGAGCTTTGTCATGGTTGGTGTGGTGCAACAACCTGAAAAAAATGTAAAGCACCTAGGCCATAAAAAAAAATCATGTTCTTAGTGATTTTTTATTGCAGATACATCCATGAATTTAACAGTCCACAAATAGTTAAGAATGTAAGAGATGCCAGACTGGGTCAGATCACAGGCCTATCTTGTAAAATATTCCTGTCTCTTATAAAGTGGACTGCCTTTGATTAAGAATGTTTGTAGTTTCTTGGTAGGCCTTGGCCCACTGGCCTTGTACAGTAAATAAGCCTGCCTCTCACAGTGGCTGGGAGTGGAGGCTCAGGAGAAATATATATAGATCTGGGGCTATCAGACTTATCTGCCACCTGCTCTTCTTCTGTTACAGCTTCCAGTCCTAATTTGGAGAGTACACCCCTAGCTATCATGCTTAATACCCACTGATGCACTTAACCCGGATGAATTTGTCTGGCCCTTTTTTGAACCTGGTTAAATTATCAGCCCGCATAACGTCTTACAGAAATGAGTTCCACAAGTTAATTTGGTTGGAGATGTTTCCTCTGGTATCTTTAAACCAATAATGGATGCCAAGGTGGGTAATGAATAGGGGATAATTCACTCTAGATCTATCTGGTTCGATGCGCTCCCTCTAAAGCATCCAATCTTGCCACTGTCAGGGACAGCAAACTAAGCTAGATGGACCATTGATCTGACCCACTATGGAATTTTTATGTTCTTATTACATACTGTGTAAAAAAACCAAAAAACAAAAACAAACAAAAAAACCCTTTCTTTTTTCATTTTAAAACCTGTTCCCTAATAATTTTGTTATATATCCATCAGTTCATTTTCCCTGGAGAGAATATTTCCTAGCAAAAACCTGAAGCATTCTTCTTCCCATCCCATGAAAAACATTCAGCGTTGCAACAAAGGAGGGGCCTTTGCCTGGGGTAGGATGGAGAATTGGCAACCCCCAACCTTAGGGAATTATTTTTTTCCCCATCTTTAGGAATAATAAGCCACATATCTCCAGCTGAAACATCCTTCAGGCTAGATTCCACACTCTTTATAGAAAAGAGTCAAAGAGAGAGTAGCAGCTGTTTGATACTGAAAGAGGCTTAATATGAAGGAATAAAAATAATAAAATCAAGATGGACTCTCTGCCAGGCACATGTGGAAGTAGAAGAGGGCCTGATTCTCATTTAAACACAGGCTCTTTTATGCCTAAATGGAAGTTTGTGTAAATGTGACTCAATCCAGTATCTCTAGGAGGCAGTTTGATGTTGATAGGCCTCTCAGAAGCATGTCAGGGCCACGGGAGATCTTTCCAATTTGTAGACCATGCTGTTGTTCTGGTTCAAAGTCTTTACAAAGGTATTGTTAATGGTCATAAGCAGGTAGAGTCACAAAGGAAGTCAACTTTATCCTCTTCTGGATGATGCCCACCTTTACTTGACAGAAGAAAAGCTCAGTTGGAACCTATGGAACACTATAGATCAAGTATTTCTTACTGAAAGTGAGTTTCATATGGTCTGATCCTTCTGGAGGAGATGTAAAAGCTAAGGCTTGAATGTCCCAGACTTTATGTAGGAGCATTAGCCACTATGTCTTGAACAAATTCCAAACTACATTTTTATTGTACCAGTCTATCTACCTCAATCTCCTTAGATCTTTCCTTGAATGCAAACTTTTCTCTTGTTTAACTAATCTGTTGTATGCCACCCCAAAAGCAGCTGCACTTCATTGGTGGTTGTAATAGCCCTATCTATTAGGGCTGTGTGAAGCTTCTGTTGTTGATTCAATTCGGAGGAGATTCAGCCTGATTTGGCAGCCAAATCTCTGAATCTGAATCGAATCAGGAGACCCATTAATCTCTCTGAATTGAATTGGAAGCCTCCAATTCAGTTCAGAGATATTTGATGATTCGACCATAGACACAGCTTTATATGGTTTTTCTACATACCTCAAGGTACTAGGTGCAGCTCATAAATGCTAAGATGGTGGGGCAGATGGAGTATCCCATGGAAGCATGGTGGGGGTCCCCCGCATGCTCAGCAGCAAACCCAAAAGTGGACCAGAAGTACTCCCAGGCCACTTCCAGGTCCACTGCAGAGCATGTGGGGGGACCCTCCCCATTACCCCCAGGCTCGGCAACTGCTGCCTTCTGGGTCTATGGGCAAATTGCTGATTCTCTGAATCAGAATTGAATCTTCAAATTTGGATTTGTCCAAATCGAATCAGGACAGTGATCCAAATCAGCTAATGGAATCGCTGTCCCCTGAATCAGGCTAAATCCGAATTGGTATTGAATATGGCCTGCTTTGCACAACCATACTAGCTATAGCTAACAGAGTTGACATCTGTAAAGCACTTTGAGATCCTTAGATGAAGTGCAAAGTGTGTGTGTGTGTATATATGTGTGTGTGTGTGTATATACACACACACACACATATATACACACACTATATATATATACACACAATTAATAAAATGATAGCATTTTATTAATTGCTATCCACCATTATTGGTGAATACAATATATATAACATTAATAAAATGATAGCAGCCAGGCCAATGGGGGAAACGTTGAAAGGGAAATTCAAAATACATCCTTGTCCTTTGAAGTTTGACTGCAACTTGTCACATGCATCAAAGCCTTACAGGGGACTAGCTTCCTTTAGAATTGAAATATCTGCTGAAAAAAAAGATCAAATCGAGAGCAGATTAAGGTTCCCATTTTGATTATATATATTTTGAAAAAATCAGTAATGAGGACCCTAAAAGGGAGCACTGCTCTTTTTTAAAGAACTGTTGGGTGCAGCTCACTAACAGGCAAATTGTGAAGATCCTATTGATTAGTATCTTATATCATAAGTAATCCCATTTAATTCAGTGAGATTAAGTGCTGTTATTGTATTAAGTGCTGTTCAGTGGGTGTCAGATCACCCTAATCTGGGCCTTCTTGGAATTCTATAAATCATCCAAGAGGTACATTCCAATATCATTATTACTAATGCTGAGTGGTATGTAGCAAGTCACATTAGACTGAATGTAAGCATTTAAATATCAAAAAGAGAAGTAGGGTATCAGAATCTGGCCGCAGCTGTTCCATGATTATCTGTCTGTTTTGTACTGATACAGTTCATGACATGGTATTATGACCATGGTTTCAAAGGCTATGCAGTTTTTCCACTGCATTCTTTTAACTTTTGTGATGAGACATTTTTGCCCTGAGGGTTAAATAAATTGTTGATGAAGATAAAATAACTGATGAAATCTGAATGATCTGTTGAGGTGTTTGCAGAACTTAGGTACACCTGACAGAATGAGAAACTTCACTCACTGGTGCTTAGACAGGATACAGGTACACAATGTGTCTGATTTACATTTTATGTTAAAGTGTTCTTTTATACTGCAGCTCAATCACTGTGTCTAATCACAAGGTTTAGTAGTCTTAAACATCCCACGAAGGGCCCAATTCAATTAAAAAATGTCCTGCAGAAATCCCTTTTTCATTGCTTTCTCAGCCTTGTGTAGGCTTCTGCAGAGAAGCCGTGATTTTTTTTTATTAAATTAGGCCCTAGGATTCCTGCCATTCCAAGTTATCTTCTCACTTTCTGTTCAGTATTTTTTTAGTGCTCTGTACATAATAGATTTTTTTTCCCAGCTAGCATGTACAAAAAATGGTATTTGCTTCTCCATTAGTTTGAAAACCTCTGGAACACAGTGCCTGTCAATGCTGATGGGAAATTAAAGTACCGTGACTTTTTGAAGACATTCAATGCTGAAGCAGTGACAATGCCATCAGACACTCTAGATGCAAATAATCCTGGATCTGCCTCCAACTGTAGTACCCCTGCAGAGCCTGGGTCACAGTTATCTTCTCAGCCTTCATGCCCCAAAACAGCATCTTCAGCTTTTGGTCAAAGCAAAGTAGGTGCTCACTTAGGGAGCTTTCTGGATGTTCATGTTTAAGGGTCTAATTTAATATGAATCCAAGTCAATGCAGATGTTCCCATTGATTTCACTGAGAATTGAACTGGACCCTAAATTACATTAATAAAAAGCTTAGCAATTTTCAGAAAATCTGTAATGTTAAAAGATGGGCCAGATAGTGTAATTTAATTTTGTTTCATCTAAGTCAGTGGAATTATGCCAGTTTACATATTGTAAGAATCCTGTGTCTTAAAGGGCAGACACAAATGAAGAGTCCAAGGACTGAATTCACATGTGTGTAGACGAAATGGGGCCCCTAAATTGAAGCAGTGGGTTTTTAAAAACACCACTTTAATTTAGGGCCGATTAAACCCCCGTGTCGTGCATACACTGACTTACCTGCCTCTCTGGCAGTGGAGAGGGGAGGGTGAG